AAATGGTGTTCTAAGAGCCTGATTCCAGAAACCCACTGTAAGGAGGAATCTGCATCTGGTATTGGTAGTAAGGAGAAGTCTTGATTGGGTATATGTTGCTTTTCAGAAGACAATAATAGGTAATTTGCCACTTTCTACACAAACAAACACAAGTCATCACATCTGATGTTTTATTTGAGATAAAATGATTTATTGGAATATTGAAATATTTGTTTTTGATTAATTCTCACTCTTCTGGAATCAATTGCTAATAAAATACACTTAAATTAGAAACAGTGAAGTGATAAGCTTATTTCAGATTTTTATTGTCATTAGGCATCATTTGTACAAATTTCACAAACATATGACCAGATTTGTCAAAATTATTAACGTTTAACTATTTTAAACCTTGGAATTTGCCAAAGTTTTCAACGTCATTTTTGATTTTCTCGAATATATTATGCAAAAAATCACTTTGATTACAGGTAGTCAACTGATAAGCTTATTTCAGATTTTTATTGTTATTAGGCATCATTTGTACAAATTTCACAAACATTGGAGCACATTTGTTAAAATTATTAACGTTTAACTATTTTAAGTCATGGACTTTGCCCTTTTTCCAGGTAAACCTTTTCTTTTCAATGTGATTTTTGGTTTTCTCGAATATATTGATTGTCTTTCATTAGACACAGGCACCTGATAAACTTATCTCAGATTGTTCAAATTTTAGAAAAAATTGAACAATCTGAGATTTTTCAAAATTATTAATGTTCAACTATTTGTATCCATGAAAATTGCCAGTCTTTCTAACATAATGTTCAGTTTTCTTGAATATATTGTCCAAAAAATCATTTTCATTACATACAGTCTACTAATAATCTTATCTCAGATTTTTAATGTTTGTAAGCCTCGTTTGTACAAATTTCACAAACATTGGACTAGATTTGTCTAAATTATTAACGCCTAACTTTTTTAAGCCATTGTTTTTCAAAATAATTTAAAGTTTTTATCAAATATATTGTCCAAAAATACAAATTCATTGGACACAGTCATTAGACACAGTCAACTGATAAACTTATCCCAGTCTCTTTTAACTGTAAATTCTGCAGTGAATTGCAATATCATGTAGAACCTGGGTAGTCAATAACACTGATATCCACAACACATGCATACAAACAGGTGTTATGGGGTGCTGAATATATGACTGTAATATTTTAGGTATTTACTCACATCAACTCAACAAGGTAATGCAATGTTGTAAAAGAGATCATTGACTATTTTTTCAACAGTACAGTCTTAGTGGGATTGATAGTTGTGTCTTTAGTTTTTGTAGAGTTACTTGCAAAGAAAGCACTTAATAGCGAACTCATCACATACAGCAGTTAGAGAGAGGACACTTTTTATGGCAGCAATCTCCAGCCTCAGCTGTTTGAGACTATATTTTTTGTATATAATATGAACGCAGAGCAGATGAAATTACATGGGAACATGTTTACATGTATAAAATGTATTGTTATAATTTATATAAATACTGTTTCTTTGATTTATTGATAAAGACATTTAAAAGGTCTTAAGACGTAGTTTTTGTTATTGTGTATCTTTAGTTCTTTTACGTAAATGTATGATTTTATGATATATATTTGATTTCAATTCTAACGCAGTTCTTGAAAAGGTATTATAGATGTTTTGATGTCTTTTATGTCTTTCTTAGAATTAGCTTTTACATATAATAAATTTAGCATTGCTATGCAACATAAAGATTTGAATAATAATTGTCATCGTTATTTATTTGTATAAAATGGATATTACCAAAAAAAAAATTGATTATTGAGAAAGGATTTTTTTTTGGGGGGGGGGGGGATACCACTTCAGTTGGTATAAAAGAAATTCTAACAATTTTTTATCTTTCAGCACTGTATTGAAAATAACATAAAGAAAGTACCAGTACAGTGTTAATTTCCAAGTCCAGGTGACTTTGTGTCTCCAAGAGTGCTGTAACTATACTGTTAATCCAATGGATTTGCTTAAAGATTATCATCGAAAAATCAAAATATAATAACTGAAGTTACTTGATACAAGTATAAGAGAACTTTTCCCAAAACTCTTTTGTACAAACACGTGTCACCTGCATCGCCATTGCCTTTGCCTTGCACTTTCAGTGATAACACAATAAGTGGATAGACATTTTACTTTTTGTTTTCAAACTTTTGGAACATTCATAAAATACAGGTTGATTTCAAAAATCGGCATGATCAAGCCATTTTGTCAAAAGTAAAGCTGTTTTTTCACTTTTTTCAGCATATTTAATCCACCATAATATAGATACCATGAAAAATGTCATGTTTTGCTTTAAAACATTTTGACTGATTTAAAGTACAAATATACAGATCAAATTCAAAAATTAGCTTGATCCGTTCATTTTTGTAAATGCCCATGTCACCTGCAGTGCAATATGCAATGTTGCATCATAATTGAAGAAAAACCTAAGTTGGGCGCTTCTGCCATAGTGACCACTGAAGGAAAACTATGCCACTTGCTATTCTCAAATTTACGGGAAAGAAACCTAGAACTAAAATACAGCTTCAGTTGGAAAACAAGCCTTATTGGTTAATTTTTCTTGAAGCTACACATTTTTTTTGTGGGGGGGGGAATTTTAATTTTTCACATATTGGCATTTTCGACTTTGAACCTCCATGGGCTTGAAGACTTTTACTAGTCACATGTTACTTATGATTTTCAAACTTGCAAAGCAGAAGCACGGGACTGAAATGCAGCCTGAGTTGGAAAATCAGTCTAATTGCCTTCTTTTTCTGGAAGTTAATCATTTTTGTGAAAATGTTCATTTTTCAAATATTGCCATTTTCAGTGTGGAACTTAGAACTCCCACGGGCATGAAGCTGAAAGGTTATCATATTTTCTAAATGTCTGTGTAATTTATAGTAGACAATTAAAAATTGGTAGTAATATAATTGTTAATTATCATGTAATGCTGTATCAAAATGGATAAAAATGTACCGCCTCCACAATCGTTATGAAATAAAAACTGTTACTTAAATTGTTTTAACAAGAATGATTCTTAGGATTGACATACAGCTCAAATCAGAAAACCAACTCTGTTGGATTATACATTTTTATTGAGTGTATGCAATTCTTTGTGAAGATTTCATTTTTCTCATTCTGCCATTTTCAAAGTGTGAACTTAAAGTCTCATGGTCTTGAAGCCTTATGCCCATTACACATTTTACTTACATTGGTATTACCAGTTGTGCATAATTAAAATTTATGTAGACAGTTAAGCATAATGTAATATTGCATCAGAATTGGCAGTAGACTATTTTGTGCATTATTATTTTCTGCTTTTTGTCTGTACACTTGACAGCTTTGATGCCCTGTTTTTTTAATTAATGCAGTTTTTTGTGAAAGTTTCATTTTTTCAGGAGCTCATTCTGGCATTTTCAAAGTGTGAACTTGAACTCTCATAGGCCTGAAGCCTTATGCTTGTTACACATTTTACTTTCATTGGTATTAGCTGTTGTGCATAATTAAAATTTGATGCTGACTTTGCTGTTTAGCATAATGTATTATTGCATCAAAATTGCCAGTAGCCTGTTTTGTGCATTATTACTTCCTGCTTTTTGTCTGTACATTTGACAGTTTTGCTGCCTTGTTTTGTAATGTACCCCACTCTGAATTTCAGATTCCATACATGAGCAAATCGCAAAGGTACAGTACTACTACACCGGCGCCAACAACTCTACAATTTCGGAGGGAGATGCTGAAGAAAGAGACGAAAGTGGTACTTTACTGCTACTGTTACTGAGACTGAAATGGATTCTGAGACTGAGGGCAGTCTGGTTCATGATTCCATTGACAGAGATTTAAAGTGACACCTATTCTCTTAATCTATCAACGCCTTGGCGCTGGAAAAGTAGGTTACAGTACACGCACTTCAGGAAGACCAGAGCGAATCTGATTTTATATCACAATAGGAAAGAATAAACTATAAATGGTGAAGCAGTACAAATAATTGAGCGTTTCGTCTCACTACACCGACGACTTGGCGTTACACACGGAACCATTAACAAAAAGCAGTGGACTTGCGCTTGGAAAAAGAATATCTAAGACCCACCCTTATAAAACACTAGTACTTGGATTATCAGCGTTACATCCGTTCTGGACTATGCTTCGGGAGTCTGTGGATTCTTACAGTGAAAGCGCTAAAAATAAAGCAATCCACGGGACCCGGACTGGCTACCATGTCAGCACTGTAAATGGTTAAACACGGTACAAAACTGGAACAGGGCGTTGTCCGTTGAACAACCGCGTATCACGAAACACGTGCTTGAGATAGACTAGCTCTGCGTTAAGAAATTGGTGCAAACTTTCGAAAAAAGAAAATGTGATGATTATTATTTATTTAATTGATAGTTAATTTGTTATTACTATTGTCATTGTTATTTCCTATTTTATTATAAATTTTTGCCCTGCGAAAACGTGCTATCTTATTAACAAATTGTTCCATAATAGGGCCAGGGGTATACCCTTTTCACCATAATAAAACAGTATTCTATTCTAGTTGTGCTTTCTCTTTGTATACAGTAATTTGAACGACGAATAGAATAAACCAGTTAGCAGAAAAAAACGTTACATTTACATGTACAAACCTTTCGGCTCCACAAATCTATAGTAAACAATTTATAGTAGTTTCGGCTCCACAAATCTATAGTAAACAATATATAGTAATTGAGCAAAATACCTCTAAATGTTTAAACTGCGATGTGCTGGTAATGATAATGATAATAACCTAATACATTTGGAATTGAGGTATGACCTAGGGATTCACAACGAGATGTAACTTTTTAGATTGGATATAAGTCGCATCTTGTCTTCTCTAAGACAATTGATTTTTATTGGGTTCATTCATTCTACCAGCGAAATCTGACTGCTGCCACTGGTCACTTGAAATAATGTTTGATGGCTGACAAAGCGTGATTGTTTTGCCGTTATGATTTAAGTAAACCCGAATTGCCTTCCCGGGATCGGAATCCATTATAGTGCCCTATCACATAACAAAGACCAATGCCTAAATCGAGGCCCCTGTACGGAGGGTGGTCAACTATACATTATTATGTAAACCAGGTGAGCACGTCACTTTGCTGAGAGGTATTCAGATAGGACCAAGGTCAGTTGGAAAAGAAGGAAGTCTCACTGCTATAATTTCCACATGTAGGCCGAAATTCTGACACTGAAACTGCAGTAATCTGTTGTAAGTACCGTAGAGATAATATAAGATTACACTTCTGATTATGTGTGGATGACATTTTCCCAAAAATGGTACGTTTTCTATTGAAGTCGTATTGACCATGGGGACATGTACCTGACGTGAACGTCACTTTCTCCTTGAAGTCCAAAATGAGCTTGAAGTAAAATAGCTTATTTTCTGTTATTTTCTCTAGAGGGAACTCGCTTTCCAATAAAGAAGCAAGAAGATTATTCCAGTTGTCCAGAGACATGTTATTCCATCTTAAACAAAGCAAGAAGACAAGGCAGGTGGCTGTATATGTAGCTCTTTATTGGGTGCCCTTTGATTCCTAACCATAGCATTTTTTTTTCAAAGAATCAAGTATCTCTGTTTTTTAGAGTAAACTAAAAAAAGTAATAATTTTACTGTAAATTAAGTTCGTGGTTGCATAGAATGTGTTGTTTAATATATTTATTTATATGATATGATTTTCATATTTCGTCATGAATTCCGAAATGGATTGCTATAATGGTTATATTCTTCTTTACAGAACATTTAGATACTGTCTCGTGAATGTAAATTTTGTTTAATTTATATCATTTTCATTTAATTCCAGTGACTCTTAACTACCGTTTATGAAAATGGATTCGCCCCCAACAAAGATATCTACTTCGTGTTCGACAGCGCCCGCACCCATGTCAAGATTGTCTCACTTGCCGAAGTTTGTCTTATAGTTAATTTGCAGGGTTGACATTTGATTTGGTTTAAAATGTAATGTTTGTATTGTGTTGTAATAATATTCTGCATCAGAACGTGCATCAAACTAAGAGCAGCGTGTAACGGGTGTTTTATTCACGGAACTTCTGGTAAAAATGAACCAAATCCAAGCATCAACCCTGCACGTCACTAGTTTATTGCTTGAGATATGTAAATAAGTCGTAGCACAGCTCTCTATTTACACACGGCGTACTTATTGTAATTTGTTTATTTTTTGTTTATACCTATAAATTCTTGAACCTGAAAGGACAGTTTTGGAGTGCTCTTTAAACAGAAGTCATTGAAATCATTTTCGTGCTTAAGTGATGCATAAAAACGAAAAATTATTTTAAAAAATATTGTAGAATTATCACTAAGTGATGTCCAGGTAGAACGTGATGCTGGCACGACTGGTTTTCTGTTTGACTGTAAAATATGTGTGGGCGAATATGTAATAAGACTATTTGTTTATTCATATCAAATTGGATACAAATACTTATTTTGATGAAGTTCAATTTTGAAAAGGAAAAAATGTCGCACTTCCATTACGTAAAATGCATACAGGAATCTTTTATTGTGGGTGCATTTGAAGAAGTGAAATAGAAGTAAATATTCAATAAACTGTTAATACAAATCATTATATTAAAATAACAGCAGTATGAAATTGTAAAATGTGCTCAAGTTATTGCAGAAATGTCCACACTTATTGAAACGGATTTTTCTAAAATTGTGAATATGCGGTAATGACGCATGCTATGAATGAATGGTTTCCGGTGTTTTGATATAGTTTGTCTGATCAGTGACACACCCATAGTTTTATTGCTGTGAAGGGGTAGAAATGTTTGTGTTTTCAGAAAATCAAACCTGGGGTTGGGGCAGTTTTTTTTTTTTTTTTTTTTTTTTTTTACAAAATTAATGTTTTTGTTTTTACAGAAGGGAAATTGACCTTTCGCCTGCAGAACAAAGAGGAAATGTTTGATGTTCACAAAAAATGGATTGTAGAAAATTTTTCCTTTTGGCATCTTTTTGTCAATTAAAATGCATATGTAGGATTGGCATTTATCGCATCCTTATGCAACTCAAAATTTTGAGTACTTCTTTTCAAATCCGTATCGAAAAGTCGCGTGTTTCTTTTTATGTTGTTCTTGTACCCGGTACTTTCTTAATTCTATTTTTCGGTCGGGATCAAGGGGTAATTGCGAAGAAAATGGAAGATTAGATGCCAGTCCTTCTTGTGCTGCTGGGTTATTGTTGCTAATGTTTCTTGGTCACTGATCATGAACACCGGAGACCGTTGAGTTGATAAGCATTTTCTGAGTAAATGTGCTTAGTTACTTTAAGTAAACTGTTTTTCCACGACATTTTCAATTTTCTTTACATATTATTCTTAAAAATTACTATGATTGGGGTAAGGCCATGTCTTCATGCTGTTCTTGATTCGCACGATGCGTAAATTTAAGTGTTCGCTCAAAATTGTGCCACCTAAATCCTATTTTAATATTTAAAGAGGGGGAAAAAGTGACGCAAAGTACATGTATGAGGTACTTCAATTATCTATGAGAAATGCATTCATCAAATCTACTGAATTGAATAATGTTTGGCTGCTGTTTGGTGTTGTGTTCAAAAATCAGCATGGAGACACAGAGTAAGGTGTGGTGTCGTGAGTGTGTACCCCCGTGGAGGGGGTAACGTTTACAGCCCTGTAGCCAGCAATTTCAAAGGGGGGAGAGGAGTCTTTTTCTGAAAAAATGGACCTTTTTACCTTAAAATCTTCATGTACTTAGATTAAATTTTACCCAGAGTGGACCTTTTCCCAGCAAAAAGGGTAACCTTCATTTGAACCCCCCCCCCCCCCCCCACCGAACCCCCTGGCTACGGGCCTGGCTTACATGAGATCGTATGCATTTTGAATTTTGGATGTCGTTATTAATCTTGAATTTGGATAAAATGTCCCTCGGTGAAATTTTTGTTCAGTCACAAGACAAATACACCAATTTCAACTTTGAATGATAGTTGTAAAATATATCACGTCCAATCTTCAACCAAAATGATTTATATTGAGCGACAATTTTCAAAATGAACCTGCGACACATTTAGTCATGGATAGTTGTATTTAGCTTGATTTACACCTCGAAATGCGAAGTCGTTATGAAAATTGCTTTTTATATAGAGCCAAAAAGTAATGTTCGTTTTTGCATACATCTGTATGGTGCAATTGCTAGTATTTGTTATAATAAACGTACATATATAAGTTGTAAGTTGTAATAGTAGTTTCAAAATGTGCAAAATGTCTGTCGTTTATTCCTAACTATCTTTTCTTCAGCTCGACTCGAACCTACAGCCATCAATTTCCTCGCCTTCTTCTCTATTTTGATCTGTCACCTTACCTATTGAGCCACTGTCTCAACTTACTTGTACTAGTATCATGCATGATCCTCTTGTAGGTGTTTAAATTGTTTATTTGGAATTATTTTTTGCAAAAGGTAATTTGCTGGGACCTAGAGGCGCCAGGAATCGAACTGGGGACCTTCTGTCTCAGAGGCAAGCGCGTTACCTACTTCTCTAAGTGTTCCCACCCACCCTCCCCGGGTAGACTTTCTTCTTATAGTAACCAAAGGAAAATTACTAATAGCACCCCTTTGTAATTCCAAAGTGCCCGAGCCAGGAATCGAACCCCAACCCCAGGCTACCACTGAACCATGTAGCTGTCAGTAAAAACGCTAAGACATTTTGTATATTTAATAAAAGTTTTATTAAGAGCAATAAGCAATACAAATTGCTTTTATGTATTCAATTATTTATAAAACATATATCTGTAAAATATCATCGTCTTCAGTCTTTTTATTACTACAAGTTAAAAAGCGTTTAGTTTCTGAAAGAATATTATGATATTACAGTATAACATTATTATGTCTGCATTTAAATTCACTTACAGGTGTAAAAATATAACATTCTTATATATTCGACTTGACAAATAAACTATCTACCACACTAATGGTCTTATGTTTGTTCTTAATGACAAGAACAATATATTTCAACTTCTTCATTAAATTAGATAAAAAAACAATGGTGGATCTAGTCTCCGCCCTCCCGATGGTGAGAGACCCATTTTGGATTAACATGATCAAGTTCTCAAAATACTCCATCTCGCCCCAAATGTCAACATCTGACTCCTTTCAAATGTTCTGGATCCGCCATTGTTTTTCTCTATATAAAAATGAAAATTATGAGATATTTATGAAATGTTCTGTTTAAAATTGGACGCTTTTTTCAGTCAGACACTTATCGTTGGGAGCAAAAAACGGACACGCATTGTCGTTATGTTTGGCCAAAAAAGTGTCAAAAGTTCTACATAAAAACATATACACGTTTATACAGCTATTGCCAAACTGGAAAGACTAATGAACATTAGATAGTAAAACGAATATGAAATTTAAAAAAATTCCTTGCAAAAACTACTTAAAGAACAAACTACATGTTCACTTATGAAATTTGGGTTAAAATCCAATGAGCAGATCATATTTCCTACATCTATTTTCAATTAGAAAACAAACTACATTTACATGAAATCTGGCTTAAAATCCAAGGGACAGATCACGATTTTCTCATATTTCCTAAATGCATTTTCAATTCGAAAAAAAAACCTTCTGAACATAAATTGTTCTAAATTCGAATAAATATTAAAAATTTCTGTATCATCTGGTCGATAGATAATGATGCTGTTAAGACAGAATTGCCGAAATTGTTAAATTTGGAAAATAAAGCAATTTTCATTCCCATAAATGTATTTGTTCAACAGATTAATGGCAAAAACATATATTTCAGGACAAAACGTGTACATATTTTACGTTGTAAGAACTACGTTCAGAGATAAGTAAAACACGAAAGTAGTTTCTTTTCCGTCATATGAATGGTATTTACATGAACTAAATCAGCTTTTCAAGAAGGGATTTTTCTCAAATGGAAATGAAACTTCTTAATTCTACATCACTTTTGACACAAAATAATCGATCTTGATTCGTAAAATGGCATGTCTTACTCAACAAGACAGCAAATGCTCAAATTTCAAGAGACGATAATCCTTTTTCCCTTCTGAACATTGAAAAAAGACACACAATGAGCTTCAGTCGTTTCATTTTTGATTTCAGTACATTTGGAGAATGAGACTGAAGTTAACTCACGCCGGGGCCGGTAAAAAAAAAAGAAATTAAGAATTCGACACTGGACTTGTAGAATTTATAAATGGATTCGATAATGTGTTCATTGGTGATTTAGGTGAAATTGTTGAATATTACAGAAAAAATATTTAGCTTTAAACCGACATAAAATTGGTATATTTTTGCGTACTTAATTCGCATCTAAACTAGAAAGTCATCCCTTGCTGTCTTGCTGAAGAATACCACATATAGTACCATTTCACATTGTCACGTGTGACAAACTTGACACTACGACAGTATACAACATACTTCAATACAATAAAGCAAGTTTTCTAACTGATGACCATGCATTCTGATATATGATTACGTTTAAGATATGTAACATTTAATTCGTAAATCACCTCAAATTCGTGTTGCTGTATTGATATAAAGTACGTAAAAGACACCTTTGGACAGAGCCTTTTCAACTCCGTTCAAAACAGCATTTTGAGAATTTCACATCTTATGTCCTGAAAGGTTAAACTTTAAATATGTCAGGCAGAAATCAATACAACTTTAATTTAGCTCAGATATTTTAATGAAATGAAATAATATATATTAATTTATGAAATATTGCCAATATTCGAAATGGAAGTATCACTGTATACTGCTATAACCCCTAAATACTTGAATTATGTTCTTTACTTCGGAAATGGACGTTTGTTACTATACCTATATCATATTCTATAATTCCACTACCAACCGCTCACTAAATATCAACATGTCAATTGCCAGACTCTCACAAGACATTTCACAGCATTTTCCCCTCCTTGGTCATTTCTCACGGTAAACTTCCACTGCCACTACTTTTTCTACCGACGAAGTTCAAAATACTGAACATGAAGTGCAACTGCATCTTCCTTTGTTTCATGAGACGTGATGAGATGAAGTGAAGGAGGAAATAAATGGTACGTGGGGAAAATATTGGGAAATGGTCAAAACCACTCTTAAGCAAACGGGCATCAAAAAACTTTTCAAAAATAATTCACTATTAACTTAATACCTGACATTGACTTCTTAAAACGTTATATTGATATGGCTGAAATTACGATATTCGTAGGCCTATACTTAATATCTAAGCCGCCTTCGCTCCACTTCCAGATCACTCAGCACTGAGGCAGTGACGTCTCCTTCCAGGCTGTCCATCCCATTACATTCATGGTAGGGGGAGGTGGCAGGCTGAAGTGACCGCCTTTTCTTTTCAACTCTCACCAATATTTTACGGATGGAACTTCATTTGTACTTTACAACATTAAAAATACAGTGGACGACGTTTGTGTTCAGTATATTTTAAAAAATGCCAGACGAAAATCAACTTCAGATCCTTATCCACCCCAAATTGAAACAACATTTTGTAGGTCACTAGCTGTCTTTATATGACTCAATATTGTTCACTGATTTGAATATCTGAGCAGTTTTTGCTATGTTTGACCAAGTAGACCTTACGATAGAGACTGCGGTGTTTTGATTCTGATGCTGTCTCAACCATGATTGTGACAAATATCACCCCATTGTGTTAGTGAAGACATAACGCGAGGTGGGGAGGGGGGGTGAGGAAAAGTTCATAAAGAAATTACCATATAAGCCATTGGAAATGACAATGTGATATTTTAGTTTAAATTAGATGTAGACGAACCATTCAATATATGTTGAAAGAAAACGACACAAATATAATTGTGGCAGTGTAGGGGAGACCAGAGCTAGTTGGCCCAGTTAGAAACTTTTGGCCTTGTAGAGCCAACTAGGAATGAATTAGAGTAACAAAACCGGTTTCAAAGTAAGTCCCATCAACTAAG